ACATCGAGATAGAAGAAACCCAGCTCGCGACACGCCTGCCAGCATCTGTTTTGTTCTTCTTCGTCGCGGTCGAGTAACTTTTGAAGCGAAATGCGGAGAAGTGGCGCGGTGGGTACGTTGTCGGGGAAGACTGGAAGATCGGGAAAGTGATCGCGTGGTGGGGATGGAGAGTGGTCTGAGTGAGGCATGGCGAGTAGGTGTCAGATGTTTCATGTGGTGAACTACATCGCGGAGGAACGCAAGATACGTGCGTTGTTCGCATGTCGCGTGGGCCGGGTATAACTGCTGGTGATAAGGTACACAAGTGGAGGAGCGCGTGGAGAACGCGGGGTAGCCTCGGATAGCTAGGGCGATAGACAGCACTAGGACTTGACGATGGAGTTAAGAAGGAGCAATCACCACAACAAAAGACAGACAGAGAGACATCACGATGCATGGAACGAATGTTAAAGGAGACGCAATTCATTAACTATCCACAGATGTAGCTCCGATATTTCCACCACCCGAACAAGCAGACATGAACACCAACCCAAACACCGAGAGCGATAGACACCGATCGATGCCTGAGAGCGCCATGCTACCCGTCAAGTGACGATGCAAAAGTTATGAACACAAGTATAAGATGAGGGGCCATGAGCAAGCAAACGCCTAAGGGATGATTGAAGATCGAACGTTTGAATGAGACCTGAGTAATGTTAGATGATGCGCGATGACAGTGAGTGATGGTGATGATGCTTACCATTGACGAGATGTTTCTACAACCTGGATCCGTGGACAACCTTGTAGTCGACAGCCATCTCCATACCATCGTCATCGATGACGAGGATACGGACGCTGCCACGGCCGTTGTCGAAGGACTCGGTCAGGCGGGAGATGAGACCGCTCTGGTCAAGGACGGGAAGACCCTGCTTGACATCGCCAGACTCGGTCATGGCGACAACGCGACCGTCCTCACGGATGTCAAGAACACGGTACTGCTTGAAGACAGGTCCGAGCATGTTCTGGACAACGACGGAAGGAGCCGGGTTGGAGATGAAGGAGGACTCCTCATGGAGCTGCTTGGTGAACAGGTCAACACCGAGGTAACGGTGCTGGCCAGTCTGGGAGGAGGTGGTGATGCGGATGACCTGGCAAGGGCGGCCCTGGAGGATCAGGAGATCGCCAATGCGGATGTGGTGGCAGGGGATGGTGATAGTCTTGGTGGAAGCCATCTTGCGGACTGTACGGACAGAAGTCGGGACAGGTGCGATAGAAGCAGAGACGGGTGCGGGTGCGTGGGTGATTGAGTGGGAGTGGGCAGGTGCAGCAGCAGAGACTGTGGACCTGGGAGGGGCTGGGGCAGGAGAGCTGTGGACGCGAACGACCCTTTCAACTGGAGCTCCGGATTGGACGGGGCGGGCAGGGGCAACAGAAGGAGTAGCTGAAGTGTACTTCTCCTTAACGATTACCTCTTCACGGTCGTCGTCGTACTTGGCACCGGGGTAGGAGTGCTCGTGAGAGTGGTGGTGACGGTGAGGGTGGATGGGGTGTTGGATACGGTCGGCGACCTTGTGAGCGGCGTGAGAGATTCCTTGACGAAGCGAGTGGTATTGGCCCTCGTTGTCGTAATATCCCATATCACGCTTGCGGTGCTTGGGGGGTGCGGCAGTGGAACGAGCAGATGATTCTACTCGGACCTCAGATGGCTGGTGGGAGGCAACAGACTCGACGTGCTTGCTGCTGGGGAAGGTGTCGTGCTTGGTGGTGTAAGTCTCCTTCGAGTAGCTTGCACCGGCGACGATGGGACGGGTACGTTCGCGAATCTGACGTTCAGTAACGTCGATTTGGGATGGAGTGTAGTCGGTGGCAGGGCCGTGGACTGTATTGAAGTGTCTATCGTAGGTCCTGTCCTGAACCTCGACGTGGGAGTGGGATGATGTAGGAGGTTGGGGGTGAGGTTGGTAGCTGAAGGAAGAAAGGAAGGTCAGCTTTGGGTTGGGCAAGGAAGAGCTTAGAGGAGGTGAGGGAAAAGTGGGGCATGCATGTCGCTAGGACAACAACAGATGAAAGGGGTTAGCGGCTAGCGCGTGGCTGGGTGCCGCTAAAGTCAGGGGGTTGGTCTGTTGTGCTGATCCGTGCGAAGATGCGCTGGCAAAACAATGGATCGGACTTACCGGTCGTGGGATCGCTCAAACTCTACGCGGTCAGTACGCTGAACGTGCTGAGAATGAGGCTGGGGCTGGGGCTGCTGGGGCTGTCCGGGCTGTCTGTAGCGAGTCTGCTCGTGGATATGTAGCTCCTCACGGTGCTGGGGAGGCTGCTGAGCGTGAAACTGCTGGGGCTGGGGAGCCTGCTGAAACTGCTGCTGCTGCTGCTGCTGGGGAGGAGGCTGGGGACGACGGAGGCGCTCTTCTTCGTAGATGCGGACCTCTTCCTTGACGTGGGTGTCGTGGTGTTGCTGCTCAAACTGCTGCTGCTGTTGGGGAGCCGGAGGAGGAGGGAGGACGGTAGCGGAGAAGGATTCGTGGACCTCTTCGTGACCTTCCCGTCCGTGAGAAGCCTGTTGCTCGAACTGTGCTTCCTGTTCTTCTACCTGGACACTGGTAGATTCCTTAACTTCCGCGTTCCGATACGCAGACGGGAAGACACTGAAGGGGATCGGAACCTGGGTGGATTAGCATAATTGCTTATACACTCGCGGTGAGAGAGCATACTCGTGCTTCAAAATCCAGTTTGCCGGAGTCTGGTCGTTCGTTCCTGAAAACCCTTCGAACCGTTCGAAAACAATTCGAAAGGAATCAAGAAGAACTTCTTGGCTCCTTTGAGGGTCTCACGTGGAGATATTTGGAGATATAGGATCTACTGAAGAGTCGCCAGCTTTATGGTGTTGACGTGCAGCAGCTTGAAGATGCGCAATTGGATGCAGTAGCGGGGTGTAGGTGGAGGAGTGATGGAGTCAGGCTGGCCGAGGAGGGGGATCAAGTAGATTGGCGGTCAGTCGGATCACTGTTGTGTCGGCGTATCGATGGTCGCAGGGTTGTGGAGGCTGGGAAGCTTTGGCAGAGCTGTTCGAGCTGGGCCTAGCGTTATTGACACGGAGCACTAGCGCGTATCAGCTTCCCCTTTTTCCTAGCCCATGGACCGATTCAACCCCAGAGAACCCATCACATCCTGGCGCTTCTCGCACCGAGGTAATTTCGGACGCGCAACTGATCTTAGCACGGCTGTTGACCGGGCAATGGCCAGCAATTGGTGTCGCAATCCAGAGTCGAGTCGCATTGAAGCTCCACAGAGCTGCCGGGAGCTTCCCCGACCTGGCTGCAGCTCCACGACCATGGCCATTGGCAGTGGGCCGATCCCAATGTTGCGTGGTATGCTTCAATTGGGGCCGGACGGCCTGCGCATGCATGATGCGCCAGCTCCTACGTGAAGAGAGGCATTTTCAGCTCAGCCTATCCATGTCGCGCGCGGCCAGCTGTTGATAGCTCCAAGCCTCTCCCCAGCCACCGCGTTTTCGTCGCGTCATAATTGGTCAGAGCTCCATATTGCTGCAGCCCGAAAAGCATGGCTGCAGCTGCGTGGCCCGACGATCACGGATCCGCCGGACTATCACGTGCGAGACGGTTCATCGATCGCGGTCCAGGTGCTGCAAATTGACGCGGACTGGGTGAGCTGTCCGGTCGCTTGTGGACTCGACGCATGTGAACCGTGGTTCTCAACGGCTGTCCGCATCATCGTCCCCACGACGTGCGCCCGCGTCTGACATGCAGCACCTGCCGCAGCGACGGTTTCGTGATTGTGGAGAGTTTAGTGATTGGATTGGGGTGCTACAAGGACTGTGTGGTCTGTCAATGTCACGTAGCTGTTGTACGGTGTTCGCACTGAGAATGTCAGCAGTCTATACCCAGGAGCGAATGGTCGCTATAGTTCGGACAGTCTGCTATGCATGCCTCCAAATAGCACCTGCAAGATCTGACTCTTTTTTCTGCAATGCGCGTTTCTCTATACTTTTCCCTGTGTATATGTTGTCATACATAGCAACACTAACCACTTGTAACAAGGATGTAAAACCGACGTCGGTTTGGCTTCGGGAAGTCGATGACCCGACGAAGCATTTCCGATGGTTTTTGCGATACCGGATGACTGACCCGATTTCAATGACGATGGAATTTGCGACGTGCTTCGATACAGGAGTTGAATGATTATACGGAAATCGACGTTGGCTGGCCGCGACTTCCAGTTACCCAGTAGCTGTTGATCGCGCTGTTGTGTTGCATCTCGGCTATCAGTATAGGTAGGAGCGACTACACAGCCTCGTAGTTACTTTCTACATTCTTCCAAGGTTCTGGTCTTGCTACATTCTCTCCATCCTGACCAGTCTCATCACATCAGTGGACGCCAGCAATTTCTCGTCTTAAAGCGCATTCTGTTATGTCCTCCTGAGGCCCTATCTGGTCGCCATTTCCGTTTCTATGCCAGCTAGCATCTGAAGCGGCGAGCGAGTTTGTGTTGTACTCGGCACATGGCAATGCTCACCAGATTGAATGTTGCTATGCTGTATGTTACAATGAATTTACCGCTTCAATGCAATGCTTCCTCTTCTTCATGTCGGGTTAATTAGGAAGGCGACTGTATTGGCAGCCACACAGTACAGTATATACTGCACCTTCTAGTCAACCGACGCCTACTTCTTTTGTTAGGCTTTTGTGCTTTCCGTCGTGCCATTCTATTTTCTATCGAAGAACGAGAGAACGAATAGTTTCGCTGTTAGAGTTATTGTCAGAAAGAGCTCTCAACTATCATCGCTCTTTCCATTTCAGACAGTCTGCAAGAACAAACACCACGTTGAGGTAGCTACGATGGACACCACAGGCCAGATCGGGAGACATCTATCTCTATGATATGCTTCCATCTTCTCCACGACAACACGCATTGCTTATCTTGATAGCATTCATCGCCCCATTGTCTATTAGTCTTCTATTCAACCATCCATAAGCTGTTGAGTACATCCCAGCTCCAGCATGCGTTTACCTTTCACGGCGCTTCTAGCGTCGATGATACTCGCAATATCAGCAAAGGCCCGCTTTGTCATATACGCAGATGAATGGCACCCAACGCGTCCAACCAACCCACGAGATCGAGCTGGCATCGACCATGTCATCCTCGCCTTTGCCCCAGCCAACGCAACAGCTACGTTCCAGCCCAAAGTTCCCATACACACCATCCGCACCGAGTTCCCCAACGCAAAGGTCATGATTGCTGTTGGCGGCTGGGGCGATACGGTTGGTTTCTGTCAAGCCACGAAGTCCGACGCATCGATGCTCGCGTTTGCCGCTGATGTTGCTACTATGCTTGCCAGGACTGGAGCAGATGGAGTCGGTGAGTACACCATCTACCTACATTGGTTACTTGTCGATGCTCACAACAGAAGACATCGATTGGGAATATCCTGGCGGCAACGGGGCGGACTACAAACAAGTGGCGAACTGGGATCAGACTTACCAGATCGCCGCGTTCCCTAAGTTACTGGCTGCCATCCGTGTCGCTATTGGGAAGAAGCTGCTTTCGATCGCTGTCCCAGGAAAAGAAGGCCAGTCATCATATACATGTTTGAAGCAAGTCAACTGACAAGTAGTAGTTGACATGCTTGGATACACTCGAACAACCGGACCTCAGATCTGGCCGTCCGTCGACTTCATCAACGTAAGTAACATTTACCCCTCTGAATCCAACTATCAGATATCGTACTGACTGCACCAGGTGATGAGCTACGACCTAATGAACCGCCGAGACACAGTAACCAAACACCACAGCTCCGCCATCGATGCCGAAAACAGCATAAAAGACTACCTCGCCATGGGCGCACCCCCCTCCAAGCTCAACCTCGGCTTCGCATACTACGCAAAATACTTCACCACGCAAGGCGACTGCAGTGCCAGCCCACTCAACTGCCCCATCGTCCTCGCGGAAGATGCCCAAGGCAAAGACACACTCACCTCTGGTGCCTGGACCTTTGAGAGATTTCACATGCATGCCGTCGATGCCTCCTCTCTGACCGTATCCCAAGACGGCACCTGCGGTCCAGAAAAGGGAACCAAGTGTGAGATAGGCTGTTGTTCTCAACACGGCCACTGCGGTACTTCGCCTGAACACTGCAACGGCACCTGTCAACACGCGTTTGGATCTGGATGTACGGACGCCGATATAGCAGCTTCATGGCAGCTCGCAGCCAAACACGGTGTTACTGACGAAGTAGCCGGCGGACAATACTACTTCGATGCCACAAACCGCCTTTTCTGGACATGGGATACGCCCGAACTCATCACAAGGAAATTCGACAGCATCGTCCGCAAATACAAGCTCGGTGGCGTCATGGCGTGGAGTCTAGGTGAAGACAGCGCGGACTGGAGTCATATTCGACAGATGGCGAAGGAAGTTGCCAAAGTTGGACTCGGTTCAGCGACTGCCAACGATTCCACCGAGCCAGTCGATGACTACATGTACGACGAGATCGCTGATTATTGCTGTCCAAACGGCTACGATCCAGCGAATCTCTTGATCTACCAACCGGGATATATGTTTCCACTCTCTTACCATCCTTTTTTGGTCGATTGCGGGGATGGGAAAGGGTTGGTTTACTGTGCATGCGACACCCCCGAATGTTCCTCGTGGGCACTTTATCCGGATCACTACGATGGCAATGACTCGGCCCAGTCCATGTCGAACGAGGATGGCCTTGTGGAGATGCAATACACGGAGGCCCTCCAAGCGATGCCAACTGAGCACGACCAAGCCGCACTCGAGACTCCGCGGCCGCATGTCGGTGTCATGACCGAATGCTTGGGTGAGGGTGGTGCCACGACATGGTGTCCACTACACTACACAAACGACCTCCCATCCATGCCAACTGAGACCAGTCCAGCTGCAATCGAAACCTCATGGCCGACTGACGCTATCATCCTTGAATGCATGGGCGAGAACGGTGGCCTGACTTGGTGTCCGCAATCCTACACCGACGAAGCCCTATCGAGTATGAGTAAGTCCAAGGCAGCCGCACTCCAGATTCCGTCGCCAACACCCTTGCCGACTGACGGTGTTTTTCTTGAATGTTTGGGCGAGAACGGTTGGTTGACCTCGTGTGGGGTATCGGCCACGCAGGACTTTCTATCGAAAATGAAAGACTACAACGCACTGCATACTCCTACGCCGACTCCTTCGCCGACTCCCTCGCGGACTAGCAATGTCCATTTCGAATGCACAGGCGTGCATGGTGGCCTAACTCGCTGTCCGCATTCCGTCATGGACAACTTCGTATCCAATAAATTTTCACTCGACGCAGCCGGACTCGAGACTCCGAGGCCAGTGCATCAAAACCCTACTGCTGTTATGACCGCAGCCGCTATCGAGACTGGGTTCACTACGCATATCGGTATACCGCAGGCGCCGGAGAGTGAGCTTCCTGGTGGATCCTACGGTATGCGTAGGCGTGAGAGGGTACAGAAAGCGTGAGAAGACTGTTGTGCAGGAGTGTTTTCTGGACGCACAGCGATGTTTCGTTTTGTTTTCATTATTGTTTGAGTTTGCAGGATGGAATGCTTTGGGCAATCGACGGCGCGTTGTTTCGCTGTCTGTAAGGTAGCGTGCGATTAATGAATTACTACTCTTTGCTACCACGACACAAATGCCGTGGTTTCCCTGATACTAATACAATCATCCTATGTGCTACGTTATCCAAGCGATGCCCTAGAGATGTGCGTATCATTTCTGGCCACTTCTCAAGTTCCATCAGGGGGAGCCTATGCCTTGACGGTACTCCTCTTCATACCCTTCCTTGCGTTCTTCTCCCGCTCCTTTTCAAGGAACTTGCGCTGCTCGTCGGCGCTGAGACGACCTAGCTTGGCATCTCTCATCTCCTTCTTCGCCTTGTCGAGCGAAAGCTTTCTCTCCTCAGCCTTCTCCTCATCATCTGCCTTCTTGATCTTGGCGATCTGCTCGTCGCGGGTCTGCTTGATCCGGCGGAGGGCTTCGGGGCGGAAGTGTCCATGAGAGGCAAGCTGGTCGGTAAGACGGAGGAAGTATTGGAAGATGGGCATGGTGGTGGAGTAGTCCGAGGCGAATTTCAGGGAGAGGCTGAGGCGCTTCTTAGGCTTGGTCTCGTCGAGGCTAGAGGACGTTAGCTTAAACCATGGAATAGAGGGATTGAATGCTGGATGACTTACGTCCTAGGAGCGTTGATGGGCTGGTCGCTGACGATGATGGCCTCGAAGCTGTCTCCGGCGTCGTTGACCGCCTTGATGAGCTCGGGTGTGAGCAGCATGTCGGTAACCTCGGCGCTCTCGCTCATGACAGTGACCCAGACAGGCAACTTGGCGTGGTCGCGCGTGCTAGTCAGAGACAAATCGTAGCGCTCGTCGCGCATGCGCTTCATGATGTCCTTGTGTACAATTGCGAAGACGAAACCATCGAAAGAGCTGTTGGTGACCTTCTTGGCGTCGGCCTGACCGTACGAAGGAGCGAACTTGGTCTCCCGGCCATCGAAAACGTAGGCGGTAGCCTCAAGACGCTCGCTGGGTGCAGGGAAACTTTCGAAGAACAAGGGAAGCACGCTCTCTCCCAGCCACATGAAGGGGTTGGCGCGCTTGTAAAAGCTCAACCTGAAGTCGACGAAAGCAACGTTCTGGCGTCCAGTCGCGTAGGTCTGGTACTCGTCGGCCTTCTTCTCCTTGAGCATGCTGTCCACATCTGCAATCGCTCCCTCCCCGCCTGGGCGCGTGTAGCCGACTTGGGCGAACTCTTGGGTCAGGACAGGGGCGTGGGCCTTCATCCATGCCTTGGCCTTGCTGCGGTTGCGCTTGGTGCCCCAGAGGTGAACCGCGATGAGAGCAACGAGGAATGGCAAGATGTACATCTCCAGCTTGAAGTCGTCCATGGTGGTGCGCTCCCACACCCGGTACCATGCTGTATAGGGCCGGTTGTCGCCCAGGCCTGTAGGAGCGGCTTGCGCTGCACCGGCACCGGTCGTGAAGGACGAGATGGCAGCGGGCGTGGGCTCAGGAGCACCTGCGTAGTCGGCGAAGTCTGGTTGGTGTCAGCGCAGCCATTGGTTATGTATATTGATAAGCTCTGCGATTTCCGACGGTCTCCTCACGATAACCTCGCGACTCAGTCTCCTGTCAAGAATTCGAGTGTCGCAAAGGGGCCTCGTGTGGTCCCGCTTCCCAGGCTTGTGGCCTCGCGACCGCGCATGCAACGTGGTGAACGTACCATCATCACCAACAACTGGAGCCTGGACAGGCTTTTGGCCACCGAAGAGACCCTTGACGAAGTCTGCCATTGTGTCGATGCGTCACAACGAAGGAGCGTACGTGGAGATTTGGCGGCGCGGGAGGTGGTTTGGAGGATCTCGGCTCGGTTCCACGTTCCAGGCACTGACCTCATTTTACAGCGACTAGCACGCATGTGGAGGGGCATCTGGGCAAGCTACCCCAGAGCTCCTCGTGGTCCTGCGCTCTAATCTGCTATAGCTTGTTGCATAGTTTCAGTCGAGAATTTTGACATTGGATACTTGGTGACAATGGTTTGCCAGACTGCTCATCTGAAGTGGTTGTGTCCGTACTCGACACTGGTAGGAACGGGCACTCTGCCATGACTATGAAAGCTCGATATCAAGCCCCATTGCAGTCCGAGTAACCAAACTGTCTGCTGCCTCACACGTATCCGCAAGGCCGATCCAAAGACGTATTCTCACAAGTCAGTCTCGTCATCATTGCAAGTGACAGCCATTCGTGTTTTGTCAGCCACGTAGTAGCTGAGTGGCAGCATCACTTCAGACTAAGTGAACACAGCGTAAACAGACAATGAAGATTGTTCTATGCGGTCTGACAAAGGGGATGTTGTAATGGGTAAAGACTTGTCGATTGATTGTATATTGATGCAGAAGACTCATGCTGGTCCCACCCATCTGGATATCATGCTCGAGGTGCGGAGTCTAGTTCTTGCCGAACCAGGTCTTGTGTCCCTGAATATAGTTAGTAATGATGTTGCACTCAATTCAACCCAATGCAAACTTACAAGGACGAGACGGCCCATCATGTACATGCTGGCGCCGAGGCTGCTGAACATGATGACCTTGAAGCCGGGAACCAAGTACTTTCCGCGGGCCTAAGAAGCAATCTGTCAGCATTTATCCCTGTGTTTTCTCACTTCCACACGCCATGTGTCCAGCGCCGCATGCGCATCATCTCAAACCACGTCATGCCCTCATCATTCCTCCTCTTGTATATTCAGTACGCACCTTCTCCCAGGTCCTCAGTCCGTCGTGCTTCTGGAACTCGCGTTGCCAGTAAGGCACCTTGTTCTCGCGCATAACCCAGCTGCCGACTGTCAGTATCCAGCTCTGTGCGGAAAGGCGGAGGAGCGCTGGAGGCTGTCGCGATGCTCTCCGGGGCCCTGAGCCGGGCCCAAAGCTCGAGAATGGACGTACCCAGGCATTTTGAAGAGTGTACAGGAGTATTGCGCGGCTTGCGGGGGCAATTGGTGGATTTGTGGATTGGTCGATTTGGTGATGTCGCGAGGTCGAATGATCCGCCGGCGAAAGCAAGTCGGCCGCCAAGGCCCTTGGCCGCTTTGGGCGCAACAACTTTCCGCATCCCCAGTTCACGCACGACGATTGCGACGCCAATGGACTGATTTCGCCCTCCGCCCCTGTCTTGTTGATGCCACCGGCTCTGGACAGGCTCCTCGCCAGCCCGTCAGCCCTGCGACTCCTGCGCTCCATCGTCAATGCCCCCGAACTCCCCGCAGCCTGTTCCGCGGCGACAAAATGCTGCCCGCCAGTAGCACGCCGCCGCAACTACTCCACCCAGCCGAAACCGCAGCCCAAGCTGAAATGGAGGCGAATGAAGGATGCAAGCGAAGACGCGGCAGTCCGAGACCACGTGCTCAAGGCACTCCAGCGTGACGAGTCCAGTGATACCTTCGCACCGACCGTAGACATCTTCGAAAACGACACCGTACGTGTGGCCCAAAGGGAAGACGATCCTGCACAACTCGCCGCTATCCTTGCAAGCGAAGAGAGACTGCACGGGAAAAAGGGTGTCCGCAATGTCTGGCAGAACTTCCGCCATCGAGGGTACCGCCTGCCCACTGAAGACACACCCGATGCCGCATTCCTATGGGGAACTTTCGTGAAGAACCACCTAGTCACGGACAAGGCGATAGAGCACGCTGAGGAGCTGCTTCACGAGACAGGCAAGACATACCCTGGGCTGTACTATCTGGTCATGAGCCACTGGCTTCCGAGGAGAACAGCGCCCGCGTTAAGGTATCACTACGCAATTCAAAAGAGCCTGAAGCCTCAGCGGCTTCCCCTACGGCAGCTGGCACGTCAGGGGCGATCGACTTACAAGCACGGCGCATACGAAGCATTGATGGAAATATACGAGCACAGCAATGAGCGGGACCTTTACGACGAGGTGGTGCCAGCGCTCATTGAGAAGGATGACATAACTGCGGCACGCCGATGGCATGCACTTTGCACTCTTCGCAACGATATGCCGTCAGAGTCTGTCGCGTTACATCCTCTTGTCCAACTGTTCACCGTCGAGGATTCAGCTCGTGAGGTCTACTTTGACACGAAAGGGTCGACGAAGAAGTGGAGGCGGGATGCAGCAAAATACAATGAGAACCTTCTGCGCCGCTTGGAAGGCCCCGATACCGCGCCCGTCCGATTCGAAGACTCGTTCGTCGCCCGCATGTTCGCAACGCGTACCTTTCCACCGGCTTCGATCATACAAGGTCTCTCTATGGTGGGCATCAACGAGATTGGGCCTCAAGCTGTGCTCACCATGGCCCTGCAAACACAACCGGTGGAGGAGCTACCTATGAGGTTCGAAGAGCTCAGGCAAGCAGGCATTGCCCTGCAAGGCTGCGTCTTCTCTTTGGCACTGGAGACGTTCGCAATGGAGCAGAAGTGGCAACTGGTGCGCAGTATGCTGCAAAGCGACCAGCATCCGGACGTCTTTGGCGACGTGGAAATGCAACGCAAGCTGCTCGAGCACTATCTTGACAACGACGATTACGCGCAGGTCCAGCGCACACTTGCCATTCTAACACTCTTCCACAATGACTCTAGTCAAGAGTCTTGGAACCTGCTCTTGCAAGTCTACATTAAACGTTCTGGACAGAAGCATGTCGTGGAAGTGCTCCAAGACATGCGTGCTCGCGGCATCATGGTGTCGCCTGAATCAATCATGGCCATTCGCAGCCTATTGCGTCGTCGGCAACGAGGACACAAGCCTGTCAGTGACCGATTCGATGACTTGCGTTTCGTCGCGCGTGTATTCGTCATGATCCTAGAGAACGGTCTAGCCCCCATCTCTCCACTCCAATGGCGCGAGATCATACGCAGATTTGGCATGGTTGGAAGGTTTAGGGAGCTTAGAAGACTTTTACTCTGGCTTCTTTGCTGGTATGCACCGAGAAGCAGTTACCAGTTTAGCACGTTGCCAAAATCACCATTTCTCGAACCAGCAACAGCGAAAGTGCGTGCTGCATACCCTGAACGATTCCACTACTTCCACTTCCCAACGACGGTCACACAGCGCGAAAACCTGTTGCATCCCGTTCGACAACTGTTCGCTCCCTCCCTTCAGCAAAGTCTCATCATCTGGGGCTTCAAAGCTGGACTCCTGCCAAACGCACCTCTCGAACAGTCCATGCTGGGCCCCACGCTGGCCAAAAAGCATTATCGTCGTCGGTTGCTGCAGCGCCGGATGCTACGCCGATTAGAGTGGAGCGCAGGTCTACGAATCGTTGTGCATCTACGAAATCTCGGCGTATTTGTTCACTACCATACCGTACTCAAAGCCTTGCAGTCGCAGTTCATAAACATGTTCGGCCATGGTCGCTCCAAAAAGAGAGAAAACAGAGTGGTGGAGAGGTCCAACACGCTCCCCTATGCGCGATACGTTCACGAGGTCAACAAGATATGGGGCAGTCCGCTGCTGCGGGAACCTCAGCTCTTCGGCAAGGGCATGGTACACGACCACATGTGGCACCCACGTATGAGACGGAACATCAAGCGCAGAGCTTCCATCAGCCTTGGTGAGATTCTGGGCCCGAACTGGAGGGATCGCGACCAAGAGATCCATACGGCTGTTAAGCAAGACGAGAATTCGACCATAGCTCAGCTGCAGAAGCACTTCAAAAAGCAGGCCAAAGCCATCGAACCCGGTTCGGAGCCGCAGCCTCCTTCCACAATAGTCGTTCCGCGCGTCCAAATCGATAACGGTAAGAAAGGACGAAGTGCCCCATACGCCGGCGACTAGAACAACGACCTGAATGCCTGGCCATGCCATAATACGTAAAGAATATACACCATAACCTTTTTCGCTTACTCCAATCCGGGAGCTGGATGAGTGCTTTTGTTGATTTGCCTTGCTCACGGAGTTCCTTAGTGCTCCAATCTTGCGCAGACTGACGTCTGTAGCCGTTCAAAATCTACTCCTAATCTAGCGCTTCGGAAAGAACAGGGGATGGGCCTGGTGGAGGTGTGCACCAAAGGACGCGCTAGCATGCGCACAACGAAGACTGAAGATCTCGTCTTTCTGTACAGCTTCAACCTTGACATATCCCCATCTGCGCTCCTCACTGGCCAGACTACTACCCATGCATAACTCAGCGCTACGCTGGATACCACATTGTGGCTTTCTTCGACCCCGCTTTTCTCAACATTTCCAGCATGTTAGCCATCAAACCCGAGATGCGGTAGCCAACCATCGCTGAGGACAGCGTCCACCCCCATCTTGTTACTAAGTCTGAAGTAGTCCTTCTGCAAGCAAGTTGACTCCACTGCCAGACATGGTCCTCTTAATATGCGACAGGGCTGAAGAATATGCAATGCAACACTGAAGCGTGCGACCGGGATTGATGATCAGCCAAACAGCTGGCGATGGCTTACCTTGAGCTCTGTCATTCGCTCAGAGTCCACATGCCGAGCGCTGCGCGCAGATATTCTACATCTATTTGGATTCACCGGAACAGCGCACTGGCGCAGCTATGTCGCGAAACGCCTTCGTGTTGACTCTCCAATCGGAACAAGGATTGTCGCTTAGGTACTAGAATCGGCTGCGTAGGCGTTTTCTCGATTGCCTCAACCGCCCTGGAGCTGCCTCGATTCCCCGCCTAACTTCCACCAGATGTGCAAAAGAGGTATCATCCAGCTCATTCGGCATCGTCTTACGAGATTTCGGTAATTCTATCCGGCTTCGGCTTTATCGGATCCTTTCATTGAGCTTTCTGCAGCTGAACCTCCACATGACTGCCCGTTGATTAGCAGCTATGGACTCTTCTGACGACGATATTGTGGAATTACAAAAGGCTAGGGCAGGTAAGAGACATGAAGATATCGGGGATGGGTCTAGAACAACGGGCAAGACACCCCGAAAGTATCCTCCTCGTGAGCACACGTCGTATCAGTATGATCCTTTGCGAAGTGGTCAAGGGACCATACGTATCCTCGAACTGTTCTCTAGTGAGCTATCGGATGCAGGAGTCCTTTGTGCATTGGTCACACCAAACGAACAAGAAACACACCAATATCCTTACGAAGCTTTGTCATGGTGCTGGGGCACGGCACAGAAGACCTGCTATATCAAAATTCACCACAATGGCAAAATGTACGCCAAATATGTCAGTCCAAATCTTATAGCAGCCTTAAAAGCACTTCGCTACCCGCACCGAAGCCGCTATCTCTGGATTGACATGGTTTGCATTGACCAAGATAAGTACGTGCGTACGCCATACTCGATGACACCCTGCTGATACTTTTAGTGTGAGCGAAAAGAATCATCAGGTCGCAATGATGGATGCCATTTATCGTAACGCTGAGAGAGTGTGTATCTGGCTTGGTACCGCCGATCGATCTAGCCGTATAGCATTTGAATTCATTGCTCAGGAGATTCCGCATTTGCAAAGCTTCGATACACTTTGCGATAGCTCGGATGCAAGCAAGAAGTGGTTGGCTTTCCTAGAGTTGATGCAAAGGCCATGGTTCTCGAGGCGATGGGTGATCCAAGAACTCGCTTTGGCACGGAGTACCACCATATACTGCGGCGGCGACAAGATTTCCTGGGAGAATTTTGCCATCGCGGTACAACTTTTCATTGAAGTTGAAACAACGACACATCGGTTATCGGAAGTCATGAAGAAAGATCAGCTGTACCAGCGCACCCCTAGCTACTTCGACCACGTTTCCGCGCTTGGGGCTAGCTTGCTCGTTGAAGCAACCGAGCGTCTCTTTCGATACGATCACACACCTGGCATATTGGGAGTCCAGGGGGTTTCAGAAAGCGATTATCTCTCTGATACTGATGGGAGTGAAATCAGCGATCTATCGAATCTTGATGATGATGGTTACGCAAACCACCTTCGCACCAACCCAAAGACTAGCATTCAGCCTTTACTAAGTCTCGAATACTTGGTGTCAAGCTTGACTACCTTCGAAGTCACCGTCCCTCACGACACCATCTATGCACTGCTTGCGATCGCAAAAGACACGGCACCGCGCGATCCGATAGCCCACACTGCTTTCACGTCCAGTACTGTCGGAGGAAGTCGGGAAGGCACCAAAGTCTATATGGCGCGCAACGGCTACAACATCAACTACGAATTACCCTACGTTGACGTGTGCATAGATTTCATGCAGTTTGCAATCGAGAGATCTTTGAACGGGAATGCAAGCCGCGCATTGGATGTAATATGTCGCCCATGGGCTGTGGAGGAGAAGAAATTACGAAAGATCCGAGAAGGAAAACTGAAGGAGAAAACGAAGGAGACAAGAAAGAGGAGGGGGAAGTATCAGTCACTAAAAGAAGGGGGAAGACCTAGAGGTCGCCCACAGACTGACGCGGGGATACGATCGCAGCGTAATACACAAGAGCAGGCTGAACGTGAGCGTGACGACAACCGATTGCCCTCCTGGATACCACAAGTCTCGGAAGCACCGTATGCGATGGTCCAAAGGCCAGGTTTCAATGGCCCGAACATGAGCCGTATCAATGCGGATCCGTTGGTAGGTTTACCCAGCCCGATGCAGCCAAATTACTCAGCGGCAGGTACAAAGTCTGTCGACATGAGGGCACTCCGATTTCGGAAACGATTATCAGCAGGCCAATCCAGTATGTCTATTCGTGGATTCAAGCTTGATGTTATCGAAGAGGTCACCCGAGAAGCTCGATATGGGCAGATACCGAGCGAATGGGCCGAATTAGCTCATTGGGAGGATGCTAGAGGACACCCGCCCGAGGCGTTCTGGCGAACACTTGTCGCAAACCGTGGAAAAGACGGCAAAAGCCCTCCTGTGTATTACTCACGTGCGTGTCAGGTGGCATTTAGAAAAGGTGGCATAAAGTCTGGAGCTGTCGATACGACTGGTCTTATCGAGTACGAACGCAATTCAATAATCACGCAATTCTGTCGACGTGTGCAGGCCGTTACGTGGAATCGCGTTATGGTACGTACTGAAAGTGGGAGGCTAGGCTTAGTGGGTAAAGAGGTCCAGGAGAATGACATAGTCTGCATACTTTACGGGTGTAGCGTTCCAGTCGTGTTGCGGAAATGTCCTAGGAAGACTGAGGCAGAATTTGAGGACGAAATGGAACAAGAGCTGGCCGATGTCAAGACTGCCTTCGTGCGGAAACTAATGCAATGCGTCGTGCGTAAACGAAGACACGAAGCTTGGAAAGACAAACAGATGGCTAAATTGTGCCGAGTATGGCTGAGGACTACCGATTACATGCGTAGCCATGGTGTCGATTCGACCAACATGCCCGCCAAAGTCAAGGACGACCCCACAGACCTCCTTCAACGCATCTTGAAGCATGCCACAGCCGACTTCAAATCCTGGTTATGCGAAGAGCGCGAGAAGGCATGGCCTGCAATTGTAGACGGCATTATGGAGGAGGAGAGGAAGCGGAAGTGGTCCGCAACCACCAAGAAGAAAAAGCTGTTAGTAGACTGGTGGGAATTCGAAATGGCACTTGTTGCCGGTAGACGCTGGTTGCAAATGACGAGAAGAGGGAAGGCCGATCGGATCGAGTTTGCACTACAGTGCAGTGAAAAGCTTTGGAGACAACAGCAATATAACACGTACAAGGCTGTCAGAATGCTCGTTGAGCAAGAGAACAGAAAGAAGATTGAGAGGCAGGCCGACGAAGACCGATACCACGTGATGAGCGAACGCGGCATCCACAACGGAGGCGTGACCGATCACCAGATAGCAAACAATGGACTCGAAAGAAACTTTTCATCCACAAGAGATAATGAGAAGCATCGAAACGGTCAGGGCGATGGAGACTCTCAGAACCATGGAGGTAATGATGAGCCTTACAGCACTGACGAGTACGGAAAGACGGAAAGAGAAAATGACACATATGACGGTGACCAAAAGACAAAAGCGGATTCTTACGGGAATGGAGAAACGTCTCAGGTAACCTCAAGATCGTCGAGTTCGAGATCCTTTACTGTACATGCGCTGCCTGGTATGCCATCGACCATTCGGCCCGGCTGGCGCCGCCCCTTGAATCGAAAGCAGTTGACGGATCAAGAGGCGAGAGAATACGACATGAGAATCAAGGAGAATCTGCGTGAGAGACTCGGCGACGAAGGCTACTTTTCTTACACGCTTCTTGGCGAGTGTTACATACATGGAATGATGGACGGCGAGGCGATACAGTTTCAAACTGGAGAAGCGGAGGTCGTTCCTTCGATGGTGTTTGAGATTCGTTGATGGTTAGCTCTTTCGTCCTTGTAGCAATACGATTTCGTGTTGTCTCAAAGCTCGATACAAATACGCCCAATTTGAGAGCGCGACAGGGTGATTAGATGGTTTGCCTGTATTATGAGATATCGCGTCCTCACGTGCATGCGCGTGGTCACTAGCTTAAACGGGCCACGTTTCAGGAGCCTGACGCGTCAGCCCCACATCCGCGTTGCCGAGGAAATGCCAGGTCGTTTTCTTGTCATACTCCCCTTGTTGTAGCGGCACCACGCCTCAATTCTTCACAGCTCGCACTTCAATTCCCCTCAATTGCGCTCAAAAACTTTACAAGAACTCATCGAAACCATGGTTGCCCATTGCGCGCTGTGCCCTGACGAAGGCAAGCTCAGATGTGTCGCCTGTAACGGAATCCAGTACTGCTCCAAGCGGTGCCAAAAGGCCGATTGGAAAGTCCACAAGCTCATCTGCAAGTCTTTCAGCGAGCACATGAACAACCGTCCCAGTCAAAAGCACTACAGCATCATCGTCTTCCCGAAAGACGAAGAGGCGCCTCGCTTCGAGTGGACTTTGTTCGAGCCTGGCACCTACAACGCCAAGATTCCGTCGCCCAAGAAAGCCTACGTGCAAGAGCTGGGCTTCGAGTTTTATGGAGTAAACTGCAACAATCGCAACAATCCCATAGGATACTTCGAGGAAGACAGCACCGATTACACGACTAAGAGGCACATCGCTGGAAAGCATCTCGGATTGCTCTTTACGAGAAACTTGGGATCTTTCGAAGAGCCTTTGCCGGAGGATATACCAATCAGTTCGTCAATACCTCTCTATGAGTCGCACGAGAAACACACTAATTCGATACAGACAAGAGCTTGATGGACATCGATCCTGAGCTTGCGCGACTCCACGGCAAAGGTCATGTCCTTGCCTGGGGCTGCCATTGTCCCGAAGACAGACGCAAAACCTCCGATCTCAACTGCACACCGGCAGACTTCCGCCATGCCGTCGACGCCCTGAGGAAGAACCATTACAAAGACAGCCTCCGGGCGAAGGAGGTCATATCGAGGAAGACTGGTGGTGTCCTTGCCGTGCGCCTCACTTGCGTGGGCGACAAGCTCTTCTTCGGACATCCTACATATGAGAGCCAGATCGAGCCGCGCTCCATCTTGAGCAAGGACTCGCAAGTTCCATGCCCAGTCGCCGACAAAGTTGGCATTCCGCTCATCATCCGGAAAGAGCCCCCTGCGCTCTCCTGGCGCGACCGCGACGTCGAATCTCGTCGAGAAAACCACAACGCGGCGATGCTCAACCCGCCAAACCAGAAAACTAAGACTGGCACTCTGATCATTGCTCGCAAGGACGGGAAGCCGCTTTTGCCTACGCACCTCTTCTGCCTCATCATCTACACCGGCGAGAGGCTGCAAGACCCGAAGTTCGGAGAGGATGGCCACCGTCTACCGAGTATGATGTTGCAGAGCCGTTTGAACCTGGTGTCTCCGGAGGACTTTGAGGAGTACTACAACAACGAGTGGCATCGTTTGAAGCTTAGTGAGAGGTTCGTCCCCTCGCCTTACCAGATGTATGATGACTATGATGGCGAGATCCATCCTATCAATATGAGATAGGTTGGGATGGATATGGGTGAAGCATTGGCTTGCGCATTGGCTTGCGCATTGGCTTGCGGATAGCTTGAAGGATATATGGAAGTACGTAATTGCAACGTAGAGGTACTGAATGTGCTCTGTCATATTTGGCTAAACAGCATCCCTCAATTCAACCTACACTCTGTCTGTATCTACAATTCGCTCTTATGTGACACCTCCCTACTAACACCATCTCCCTCTTTCCCGCCACCACTTCCAGCTAGCCTGACAGCGATGGTAGGTTTATGTACCAACGTCTGCAGCACCACACAATACCTCTCTGTCAACTTGCCCAGCTTCTCGATTTCTTCCTCGGTGACCTCCCTGCCGTCTTCCCTCTCCCCAAACTTGACCGCGAACTCCAACCGTATACCTGTTATACCAACAGGGGCTGTCCTATCTACGCCCAGTGTGCCCTTAAAATCCAAGTCTCCTTCTGCGGTAACGGTTCCTGAGGCGATGGGTATGCCGAGGGCGGTAGCGACGGCTTTCAGGGTGACGCCTGAGCAGGCTACTAGGGCATCGAGGAGCATGTCTAATTGACGGCGCATAAAGTCAGCACATTTATCAAATGTAGTTCCGATGGAGACATTGCTTACCACCAGAGCATAATTCCCCAGATATCGCTGGGTCGTCACCGCCAGCCTTTTGGTGCAAACCGGCGACCCTATGCGCTTCCTTCACAGCAGAGCTATCGGACAGCTTGCATGTTATCGAATGATCGTCGAGCGAGCCCGTGGATTTGAGGGTTACGACAGCGGAAGACGGATCGCTGCGGTACCCGTCCTTGATCGGGGCTTGCTTTTGGCGGAGCGCTTGAGCGGCGGACATGTTTGCGATGAATTGTATGCGAGATCGGTATGTGAAGAGACGCGAACTTCTGTGTTCGTTTTACGGTACAAGAACTTTGTCAGAACACCTAGACTTTTCCAGAATTCCAAAAGTCGTCGTTAGCCTATACATCATTATGAAGTGTACCCCGCAAGGGGCAGGTGGGAGCTCCGCAGCCCCGCTTCGCCGCTGGTGCGAACGATCAAACAGGAAGGAGGGGTGACTCGGTCGCGACATTGCCCAGAGATGTCATGTCGAGAGCTTCGGATTCATATGCTGATGAGCACGTTTGAGATGGAAGAGATGAAGAAGAGCAGGCACGACCTGCGCGAGTTGGATTTGCTACAGACACGTGCAGACACGCGATAAGATAAGCGTCAGGGGTCCAGCGCGTGTGCGGCACGCGTCTTCGCTCCACTTCAACGTCATTTCTCGTCACGTCTCTTGCCTTCATACGATCCACACTGCAATCGCGTCCTTTCTTCCGCGTACAGTAACCCTCCACCTCGAGCATGAATTAGTGCAGGCCACGTTTCTCTGCTACAGGCTCGTCACGGTTGGGACGACGGCTATCGCATTGCCAGTGGCCCAGGACTACAGCCTTCGATGCTGAGGGTCAACAAACACCAGCGGACGATTTAACATGCTACTCAGCTCAGTCTCACGATACCCATTCACGCGTCTCCATTCTTAGCGCTGCGATCTCAACGTCGACATACTAGCTATCCTACTCCCGCGCAACTGTACTTGCACCTACGCTCAGCATGGCTCGCTTTGCCGACCTTCCTACTGAGCTCGAGCTCCAAATCGCGTCACACCTCTCCTCCAAAGATCTCGCCTCCTATGCGCGCATCGGCAAAGTCCAAGCCAAGGTCGCACGCGAGCATCTCTACTCCGCACCGACGATCGAACAACCAGATGAGGGGCATCGGCTAATGATGCTGCTACGCACATTGTTCGCTCGCCCTCAGCTCCTCACAAACATACACTCGATATCGCTCGCTATCGTGAACTGTACTATGCCTTTCGGCCTCGGTTCGACAGCAGAGAGGGCCGAAGCTACACGCATCGATTGGGATACGACTAACAATGCCCGTTTTGTTGAGGTCGATAGAATTGTCGGCAGCCCTCATTGCTTGGGATACAAGGACGTGTATCAGCAGCTCGTCTTCCGTCTCAAAAAAGTCATGGGCAATCATGACTCCGAGCGGTATTGGTTTTCGCATATCGTCAGATGGCGCACTGCAGCTCTCTACGGCGGATTACTTCGAATTTTGCCTAATCTAGAGCGACTGGAGCTTGAATGCTACACCAAGCTACATAAAGGAATATACCTACCTACAGATGAGACAGATCGCAAGTTTTCGGAAACTCTCTTTCCTTCCACGCCGTGGCGCATAGGCCCGGTGCGTTTCCCGATGTTGAGCGAGCTACATGTCAAGTGCGGTCTCTTGATCAATAGCACTCACCTCTTACCCAATTTGAGGACCTTGAAAATTGGTGAGCTCGCAGATCTCCCCCATACTGAGTTTCCGTCCCTAGTACGCATGCACCATTTGTCTGCGTGCGCTTCCTTGTTTCAAGGAGAAAGCCCGGATTGGGCTATGCCTCGACTATATCAGCTTGATGATGATATGTTAGAAGTACAAAACTTCAATTTACGCTTCCGGGCACAGACCGTCCGCAGTGTCGGCGGTGGCCCCGTCCGATACGGCGGTATTCTTTCTCTTGCTGGGATATTGGAACGTCTACATGTGTCTAAGTCAGTCCTAGAGACGCTATCCATAGAACCGATCGACCATGGCGAACTCTTACACTGTCGGTTTCCAGTAAATCCTGATGGGTTGATGTCGGACTTCAGCATGTTCACCCGCCTACGAGAGCTTACTTTACCCTTTCGACCATCTACAGATACTTTGGAGGGTAAACTACCTCCAAGTCTGGAAAAGCTTAGTCTGCTGTGCACCAGCGCAGTTTCTCCAACCTCGGTCGAACATACCCTTCAACACCGGCTCAAATACGGCATCTTCTCGCGTCTCGATCTTTTCCTCTTGTCTGAGGCTGATGTGGACATCAACTACGAAGCCTGGGATACGTTCAAGAAAGCTGGTGTGGCTGTGTATATCTGGGTGCGACAGTCTACGCTCCTGTGTGAAATGCCTGTGTAGGGTAGGAGGGCTTGGGGAACGGCATTGAAATCTTCGGATGAGTCAACAGAAATTCTGGCAGCGTTGTGAGGAGCGATCATATTGATGCAGATCTGGACATGGCTGTGAGACCATGGCGGACGCCAAGAGACTAAGAGAGTAAACGCGTCTTCACGTGATCTGGGGCTGCTCTTCCTCTGGGCAGCACCTTCCAAGCCTGGGCCACACCACTCAGCAAACACTCCGACTCAGTGAGTGTCAACATATTCTGAGTCTCCGCGTCTTCCAACACCGCCATCATTGCAGCTCGCGGTTATTGCACGGCAGACTGCAGTGCCTCCAGCCAAGTCCCTGGTTGCGCTCTTCCACCTCCGGGTCACGATTAGCGCTCAAGAGTCTTCGTGTTACGACTTTCTCTCGCTATCATCCAGCTTTTAGGCAGCCCGGGTCCCACTTCAACGCCTACCTACTCACGAAACCCGTCAAGCTGTACGGCGCCTACTCCAACACATTTTCGCACAATCCAATACCACAAGCTTTGCCGTCAATATGTCGCTCTCCAGCTCCGCCGCTGTCTGTCAAGCTACTCCAGGTGACAAGCCGTTCAACTTCGTCGCTCTTCCCCTCGAAGTCAAGGAGCTTATATACAAGCACGCCCTGTTCGCTGGCGGCCATCTCAAGTACAAACTCTACGTTAACTCCGGACACTTCGCCAATAGCGCACTTCAGAACTCGTTCCCAGCGATTTGTTTCACTAACAAGCTCGAGCGCATCATCGCTTCACGACTCTACCTGCGATACCAAACAATCACCATGGACGACAGTGACGACTCACCAGTCCTTGAAGCTTTCCTATCACAGTTCGGACAAGCCAATGAGGGACTAGGGTGGTTGAAGCATGTTGAAATTGCCTATTACGGAGACTTCTGTGACTATATCAGCAAAGCTATACCTTTGATCAGGGTGTGCACCGCGCTAAAGACAGTGGTATTCCGCATGAACTCACTACATCTTTATGGAAGGTCGGAACGCGGACCGGCAGAGAAAAAACCTAGCACCGGTGCTGAGATCTTCGAGCGTCTGCGTCTACATGGCTTGGCCGACTGTGGTCATTTGACTAAGGTTCGATTCCACGTGTTCAGGGGTCGTCGTGCGGAACTGGAGGGCCTGAAGAAGTTGATCCAGGACTTTTCATGTGACTTTCTGGCGTTGCACGGATCGATAGCTTCCAAAAAACTCGATGTCGGTATCAGTGATGAGTGTGGTCTGATATGGGTGTTGGAGCCGCAGGCATGAGAGAAAACGTACGGACATGGCGCGGTATAGAGGTTGTTAGTGGGCCGTTTGCTGCATGCGACTACGACTTCACAAGAGCAGTGTATGGGTGCAATACCGAGGGCTGGGGTACACGTTGATGTGCGTCGCGGTACAAGCAGTGCAGATGTGGGTTAATGGCGCCTACGTGAAGCTAAATGAAGGTGAAGGCGAGGTACAACAAGATCCCTGTCTTTTGTCGGCGCGATTCAGGACCTACGAGTGTGTAGGCCCTTGATTGCGAGTAATACGATGTTCAGAGTCTGAGCTTGAAGACCAATTTTGTATCATTAGGAATCTCATTTCATCTTTCCTAATGGCGAGTGCTTACGCACTCTGCGGTGCATGCCCGTGTCGTTTTGACAGTCATATGAGAGAACGCCTGGGGGGCCAAGGCCGAGAAAGACCAAGCTCGATATGCCATGTACTAACCACCGTGCAGCGTGTCGAAGTAGCAGTCGACAGACTTGATCTTGTTCTGCCCATTGCCGTTAGTTTAGATGTCCTTGCCAAAAGGGGCCAAATATCTAGAGCACTCACATCCAATCCGATAGTAGCAAGATTTGCTATGGATTCGCGGGCCGAGTACGACGGTTTACCTTGGCATTTGGAATTCCTAGCTTGGGTCAGCCTTGTATCACTTGTGAGCCTGCTTGATGAGACCTACTCGTATAACTTGCAGGTAAAAGGCCTGTCCCTATTGTTATAGCCGTCGGGACACGGAGTTAAAATGACCGAGGAAGCCCAAGGGTTGTCCCTACAATGTATCAGCAAATGTACATGGTGGAGTCTGGTGCGCTTACTCCCTGATTACCCTACAGCCACTATCGCCCTGGTGGCAGGAGTAGGCGACACTTTTGCTACCTTGGTAATCGGGTTGTTCAAATAGGGAAAGCTGAATGGATATCAGCGAGTTGATCAAAAGGACTGATGCGTCATACCATGTGCACATCCGCGGCGCTGGTGTCTGCGGTGCCGATGTCTGCGGAGCTGATGTCGGAGAAGGTTTCGATGTCGGAGTGGCGCTCAGAACGAGCATCAACTCCAGCGACGTGAGCATCCTTATCCAAGAAGCACTGCATGGACCTAATCGTCTCCTGTTCATCATGGTCAGTAAAGGAACGCTTCTTTCACGACGTCCAGACTCATTGGTACTCACATCGAATCTCGGCGTGGACTTTGTGAGATCGTCGATAGACGTGCGCGTCAAAAGAAACCTAGAAGTATAGTCGCAGGTCGGTGTGCTAGCTAACGTTACTCTCGTACCGCAGATGAGCTTGCTCGATAAGACCTACGAGAAGAAGAAACATGCGAATGTCTTGTTCCCAACTGGTGAGCCGTGGGGGCATGTTTGTAGAGTGAGCGAAGAAGCCCATGGCTCAGAGCTTGAATATGTTAGTCATGGTGAAGTGGACTGACTCGGTGCACTCACGCGCCGTCTGCGAGGCAACCATTCATTCCTGTAGCGCATAGGTAGGCTTTAGCTCGCCTGCCTTGCTTGTAAGGTCCTTCGTAGAGGTGTACCTAGAGGGCAGTTAGAGAAGATAAGTAAGAGGTAGTGGTGTGCACGTACAGCAGCCGGAAAAGGGTTAATGTCTGCAGTGCTGACGTCGGTAGCCTCGGAGATGCCGTCGAGCTTGACGCGGGACGCGCTAGCGAAGATATCCTGAGGCATGATCACGTCGCTGCCGTCGATGACCATAGGCTCATCGCCGACCTCGATCACGGTGCCATCGGTCTTTTGCAAAGTGAAGCCTGCTGCAACCGAAAGCAGCGTCAGAAAGAGGATGAGGAGACGCATAGCGGGCGAGAGATTACTGTGGGGGGACGAAGTGATGAGTCGAATTGGGAAGGAGTTGATTTGACTTGTTGGTGGAGGAAGAAGTAAGAGGTAAGGATCGCAGCGGGAGGGCAGGCTTATGTGTTGGGAATAGTAAGTAAAGGCAGGCTAATTCCAGAGCCAGTGAGTGAGTGCCCGTTTGCCAACATTCCGATCTTTAGTGAAGCCGAGGCCTATGTCCGACTCCTGTGTCACGTATGAGAAGTCAGTCGATTGCACGTGCTTTCGCGCAAACGACGCCGCGAGAAAGCTGGTTAGTAACACATGTTGGCCTTTCGCTTTCACTTATCAGTGATTGTTGTAGAGGCTCATGATATAGGGCACTAAATCAATGTAATCATTTGAGGTTAGGAAACGCTGAGACAAGCCTCCGCTAGCCCTCCCAGATACTCCCTCAGATGTTCGTGACACCCAGCTTTTCTTCCCTTTGGCCTACTATGGCGAAGCTGAAGGAATCTAAACTGCATCCTACAAGCGTGTTTCTCTCGTAAACCGAGTCGCATATTGATTCATCATCACCTGGACGGCCCGTCTGTATGCAGCCCTGCCTTCATCTCAAATTCGAAGTCGTACGAAGACGCGACACCTGGTGACCTACCCAAATGTGTGCTCCATGAAGACGTTTAAAGAAAACACCTAGCACATCAACCAACAGTTGTGGCGATTCCTAGGTAGTTCGAGTATAGAGTGTGCGTCTTGTCAATGTTGAAGTTCACCTGGGCAGTGACTAGCATCGGGTGCTCATACGACAACCCCGCGGGTGATCGGCGCTAAGGCCTCTGAACTCTCATTGGCCCCCGCCATTGCCCACAGGTAGGCAGCGACTACCACCAGAGAAACCCGAGCCTCGCAGCCTTCGCCTTAGACCTGCCACAATGCATCAATCAAGTGTTGGCAATCTGCTTAACCTACTCCCTCGACCTCCATGGACGCAGCCACTCAATTGGGATCTAGGAATGAACTGGGGTGGCGAAAAACGCGTCTTCTTCCCTGCGTACGTAAGGCACCGTGACGGCAACAATACATCGCAACCATCGCCTACCGGGTTCTCTTCATTCCAAAGGCTTCCCACCGAACTTCAGCTTCGCATCCTCTTATGTTGTTCGATACCAACCCTTTGGCAGCTTATGCGAACGTCGTCCATGCTACGCATCGAGTCATCAAAGCTGTTCTGGGGACATCCCAACGCTTCTTTCCTCCTGGATAGTAGTTGGATTATTAGAGGCGGTTATCCCGGTCAAACTTGCGTCGACCTTACGTTCCTTGCCTATGTCCAGAACGTAGAGATTGAGTACGGCTGCCTGCATAACTGGCTTTGGCCGGAACGAGAAGCAAAAGAACCATTCCGCCCAGAAGACGTACAACAAGATATTGTGGCTGGATTCTGGTCTACATTGAGGAAGAGATGCCCGGCAGCTAAGAGGATAGTGTTCAATCAGAATTTGATGCTCTGCGACGTCATGGAGGAAGTCGAGAATGTGCCACTATGCCTGGAAGTGTTATTACGAGCTTCTCCAAAAAACATCGCCGCTGAGGCAGTCATCATGCAGACGCGAGAGAAAGCTGAAGATTGGAAAACCGACTTGTACAGCTATAGGGAGAAGCCGCAGTGGAGAAGTTCGTACTTTCGGCCTCTTGGAGATGGAGGCTGGGAAGATCTTGAGGCGACAACGCGTAATAACACAATACTAGTGCCTGGACGGCCATTTCGCGGTCTAGTCGGGCAGTTTGAGAAACACAGCTTTGTTTCGGATAGGAACGTCCTCCAGAGACGCGCGCTTTTGCCTCTCTTCATAGAAGCCTTGGACCGACACCACTTCGACAAGGGGAAGAGCAATGCTTTCGAATGCCCTAAGCCCGAATGCTCAGTGATATTTACAAAGGCTGGTGAATGGACAATACATGCAGCAACTACGTCACATGGCTGCGCTCGAGCAGAGAATGGTTGCTTTGATATACTGCCTACAGAACTGCGAGGCGTGTTCGAGAACAGGTATAATATGTTGTGGATGAAGATACAGGAACTGAGCGAGGTCTGCGAAAACATGTTGGAAGATTGGAACGAAGAAGGTGGGGAAAAGAGAAAAAGAATGGAACAAGAATTTCTTCAACAACTGGAGAACGATCCGGATTGGGCGACAGACGAGCCGGCGGCAGAAAGTCGAATCTGGAGAAACTTCACAAAGGTGATGGATACGGCCTGGAAGGACCTTCTGAGTTCCCATGATTGAGAAACACTGAAGCCCAAGGCTTGCATTGGACACGTGATGGAAGGACCTACAGTGAACAGGATTTGCGACCTGGCTGAGAGTGTATAATGACATTTTAGGGAACTAGTTCGGTCGCGACTCGGTAGTTTCAAAGGGTCGCATGCCGGTAGTAGAAAAATGCATGATCAATGCAAACTAGATCGTTTGGAGTCTTACGGGCGCGACGTGAGCTTGATCAAGATCAGTAATGCTATCAAATGCACAAGTCGCAGTAGAGCCGGCTCGGTTTGTTCGCTTCCGTACAGTGTCTTCGGTACCAACTCAACCACGAGTTCGAGATCAGGTGCATCGGCAAATTGCAAAGAGCTGAACGATCCGGTGATGTGTTTACTCAACAGGCTACGGATATCACCCTACTCCACCTCCGATGGGTCCAGCGCGTGCACTGAAAAGCTCAGTCGGACACCGACTTTGCCATCTCGAACCATCGGGCCGTAAAATTTTCTCGCTCAGCATGTACGCTACTAGGCGTGTCGATATGCAAATTTTGAGCCTCATCCTACCCACAACGCGTCTCGAAGCACGCGTGGGCCGTTCGGAGCTGTCGGAGCATCCGGAAACGGAAAGCCGACCGCGACTATAACGTGTTTTCGCGTGGCAGACCGTCTAGAAGTCAGCAACTTGCATGCCCCACGTGCAAATGTCGGGGGCAGGTCGGGGGCAGGTCGGAGGTGGATCGAGAAATCGATAGTGGAGGTTCCGCGGAGGAGTGAATCGTGCACCGGCAGCCGGTGTGCCATGGGGGCGAGGCGCCAGGCGTTCGAGACGGTAGCCGAGCTGACGTCACGGGTCGCATTCTCAACTTCGATAAACAAGGCTAAGACGCGTGGCGCAGCTTGGCGCGGACGATCGGCGCAGCTTGGTCTGCCTTCTTTCGATGCTTAGAGGGCGGGCGGGGGCCTTGTGTTGGAGGCTTAAAAGCCAAGATCAGGTGTTGCGAAACCATCTGTAGTGTGGGAATCGTGCGAAGATAAGACTTGCAATGCAGTCAAGGATGACGTAGCCCACCTTCTACCAATTACTCGGTGTACACCCGACAGTGAGGAGATGGCAAGGCGTCCCGCGCGTCTGTCCAAAGCCAATACTACCTTCGCTTCGGTCGACGCGCACTTAAGTTTCGACCCATATTTAATGCTACATCGCCTGGTCTGAGAGGTCCCGGGGACAGTGTCCAACGGCCTCTAGCACCAACGCGCCATAGCGCTCAAGCCCTGTCAGCCGTGGAAGCTGTGATATGACGTTTCGAGGATTCGAGCGCGTGCCTTGTGATGCGCACAATGTGCATTGGGCTCTTTGGAGCGTGCACCCGCGCCTCTGGATTCACTGCGCGTCTTATAAGTTGCTTCTTCCGCCGCCTGCGTGACGTCTGTGTTTTATCATCTTACCCCAGATTCTCCCACCCAGTCCCCGCAACTGGATCCCGGGTTGACTACTTTTGACCAACAACCCACCCAAGCGCATTGCTGTCGACAACATGGCGTCTGCAGCAGAGCGTAAGCCCGAAATCCACGACATGGACACCGTCAACAAGAACGAAGCTGGTGACGCTGAGAAGAAGAGCGCTTCCGACGGTGACCTTCACCACACTGAGAATCCGGCGGATCATGCGATCACCGCTGCCGACAAAGAACACTACGAGAGATACGGTACCTACGATCGCTACGAAATCACCGAGGAAGACTGCTACGACGAGCTCGGTTTTTGCTTTCCAACATGGAAGAAATGGACCATTCTCAGCATCGTCTTCATGGTGCAGGTCAGCATGAACTTCAACACCTCGCTGTACAGCAACGCCGTCGGGGGTATCTCTGAGGAGTTCGGCGTCAGCAAGCAGGCAGCGCGTCTGGGTGCAGCCATCTTCCTCATCACGTACGCGTTCGGCTGTGAGCTCTGGGCTCCCTGGAGTGAAGAGCTAGGACGATGGCCTATCCTCCAGCTCAGTCTCTTCTTTGTCAACATCTGGCAAATTCCCGTGGGCATTGCGCCCAACTTCGGTACCATCCTTGGATTCCGTGCACTCGGTGGTCTTTCTACTGCGGGTGGTTCAGTCACCCTCGCAATGGTCGCAGACATGTGGGAGCCGTAAGTACCTTGCACCTTCATTCCATTTTCATACTAACAGCGTCAGTGACAACCAACAATACGCCGTCGCGTTCATCGTCTTCTCCTCCGTCGGCGGCTCGGTCCTCGGACCCATCGTGGGTGGCTTCGTCGAACAATTCCTCGCCTGGAGGTGGAACATCTGGATTCAGTTGATCTTCGGTGGAGCCGTCCAAATCGCCCACGCCATCTTCGTTCCCGAAACCCGTACCACCGTCCTCATGGATCGGATCGCTAAGAAGCGCCGTACAGAAGGCGAGAAGAACGGCAAGCCCAACAACATCTGGGGACCCAACGAGCTCAAGACGTTCAAGGAACGTTTCAGTGTCCACGAAATTCTCGTTACCTGGGTCCGTCCCTTCCGCATGTTCGTCACGGAACCCATCGTGCTTGTTCTCTCCCTGCTCTCCGGTTTCTCCGATGCGATCATCTTCATGTTCCTGCAGTCGTACGCACTCGTATACGAGCAATGGAACTTCTCCGCCTACGCTATTGGACTGACCTTCATCGCTATCGGTATTGGCTACTTCATCGCATGGTTCTCGTTCTTCCCAGCTATCAAGCGCAACGAGCGCCTCCGTCGCGACCACCCCGATGATGAGAGGTCTCAATACGAGGCGCGTCTTTGGTGGTTGCTGTACACCGCGCCGTGCCTTCCTATCGGTCTCATCATCTTCGCTTGGACAAGCACTGGCCCACCAATCCACTGGATAGGATCTCTGATTGGATCAGCAATCATTGGTATCGCCAACTACGCCATTTACATGGCAACCATCGACTACATGATCTGCGCGTACGGTCCCTACTCAGCCTCCGCGACTGGTGGTAACGGTTGGGCTCGTGACTTCCTCGCTGGTGTCCTTACGCTCCCCGCCACGCCTTTCTTCTCCAACATTGGCGGAGAAAACCATCTCGCGTACGCGTCCACAATCCTCTTTGCTATATCTCTTCTCCTCGTGGTCTCGGTCTACGTCATTTACTGGAAGGGTCCCGAACTCAGGAAGCGCAGTCCCTTCGCACAGCAACTCAGTGCTGCTCGTGACGAGACTGGTGGCCGCCGCGTCAGCAGCCTTCCAGGCATGTACGGTTCCCGCGCAAACTCATTCGCACAGCAGGGCGGCTCGATGCCCAATTCTCGCAGGGGTAGTGTGGTGCGCGGTGTTCCGGGTGGCGAGAACAGGTACGCGATGCACCGCAGGCAGAGTGCGCGCAGTGCCGTGGGTGCTTGAGCGTCGCTTGTGTTTCTTAGTAATACAGACGATACGGCATAATGATATCTTAATGTTCATAAATTGATTGTGTATTGCTCTCGTGAAGATGTTGGTGACGGATGGCGATCCCAAGCCTTGTGATCTGTGCTGGATCTTACATAATTGAATCTGCCCTGCTGTTGCCGTTGTTGCGCGACTTCCCTTGAGACACCACGAACACTAAAATGCTTGTTGTTTTTATACCAATACAATGACGCGACCGCTGGCGCGACAACACAAGCACTCTTGTGACGAAGAGCCTATGTGCCTTCATACTGCGGACGCCAACAAATAACATCTTGCCGACCCAGCGGCCTAGCTAGGTTTGCGACCAAAGCATTTCGTCCACACGCGAAAGAACGGGACTGTATCCACCAAATTCAAACACCCCTTAGAGACAAAGATAAGTTTGTCTTATCGCCATCGTGCTGTTATACAACCGCATTCGGGACTGTCTTTGGGGTTATCTCCTCCGGGTTGACCGGGGTGTCCGTACCATTCCCATGTGTGTGCGTACTCCCTTCGAGCCTGCTCTTTTTCGAGAAGAAGCGCAAGATCTTCTTCTCGACATCAATACCCTTAGCCTGCCAGGTTATTGCTTCCTCGAACTCATCGAATTTCACGCCAGCTTCTTTCGCGTGTTTACGGATCCCACGAGTTCGGAACAGCCAGACCCAGTGTGAGAGAACCATACTCATCTCAATGGCACAGCTAAGCATCATTAGCCTTATTCAACGATAACATGATTAACGCGATACATACCATAATGCGTACATGGTCCCGAAGAGCACGTCAAACTCGTTCTGGGCTACGAGAGCCATCAGCGAGAAGAACGCGCCGTTCCAATCGATGGCCAAGAAGATGAAGTCTATACCTACTACACGGCCCCGTCTCTTGAGTAGCTCGAATGGGATAGGTATGTAGCCTGAGATGAGAGTGAGAAAGGCGACGATGCCGATCAATAGGACTGGCCACTCCAACCCGTCGGCGTATGGCTGTCGGATGGCATAAACAAGACCAACTTCTACCCCTGCGAACAAGACGAGAAGAGCGAAGAGCAGAAGAGATGTAGTCCAGGTTCGCCATTTCCTAATCCTGGTTAGCCGTCCGATCTTGACCGGCAATGTCGTTCCATTTCGATGGACTCACCGGCTGTAAATAAGACACTGCGCCCAACTAACACCGCACAACACACAGAAGCACTGCGGCTGGACGATAAGCGGGATGTTGAATTGCTGCGCGATGGCGTACACTCCGAAGGGCACTCCACTAATTGACCATAGCAGCATCATGGACTCAGGCAGTCCATCTGTCTTCTTGGTTCTCCAGTTCCGGTATATTTGCGGTAGTAATTGGACGCACCAGAATACTGTTCCAATGGTCCCGAGTACGTTCGCAGCTAAAGGTATCGACGTCTGTGGCGCCATTGCACGTCGGCAGAATGAATTCGAGAATGAATAACACGATTATGATCCCAAGGGTTGCGAGGTTGGAAGCTCTATCGCAACTCAGGTAAGAGGTATTAATGTGTCCTGAGCATCGGTGGCGAACTAGGAAGTGAAATTGCTGGCCCGCTATCTAGCTCGTATGCCGACTAGTGAGAGCGCTGTTACATAATTGCTAAGAATAGCATATGCTAGGTATATAGTAGGCCTATTCTATCTTAGTTAGCTTATTAGACTTATATATTAATTTATACTCTATATATACTTTTTTTATTAGTAAACTAATTCTATAGTATAAACTAGTCTAAAAAAAGTAAAGTCTATTACTAGTATATAAAAAAACGTATTTTAAAAAAAGTTAAAATTTTATATTTAGAGGTATAAGTATTAAGTAGACTAAGACTTAAATTTTTAGTACTACTACTTCTAGTATAGTAGTTAAAGCTTTTAAAATTTAGAGTAGTAAGATAACTATTTTATAAATACTAATATCTACTTATAGTAGAGAAAATTATAATATAATTATATATTTTTAATAGCTTATAACTAACTAAGCTATAGATTATAAAGTAATAAAATACTAAAATCTTAGCTTATAAAATTATATTTTTATATATATACTCTCTATTCTTTATCTCTATCTTTATTTCTATTCTTATTCTTATTCTATAGCTTATAGTAAATTAGAGATTTAAAAACTTATTAAAGACGTAAATAGTAGCTTAAATTTAATACTAAAGCTATACTAACTAAATAAGCTTTTAACTATATTACTAATACTTCTTTTATAAGTTCTTCTAGTATTAGTAAGTCTATCTAAAGCTAATCTTATTACTAGTTATATTATCTTAGTATCTTACTAAAGCTTAATTAAGCTCTTTATTATTACTATATTAATTACTTTTCTTTTAAACGCGTTACTCTATAAGTTCTTTTAAAGTTATTATTTTAGAAGCTATTATAGAAGCTACTATAAACTACTTTATTTTAGCTATACTAGAAGCTATTATAAGCGCTTTATAGCGCTACTTTACTAGTATAAAGCTATATACTAGACTTATTAATATTCTTATTATCTCTAGTTTTATTATTTTTATTTTTATTATTTTTATTATTTTTATTATCTTTATTATCTCTATTATATATATAACTAGTATAAGGCCTTCTATTATTCTCTTTTCTAGTTTTACTTTCTAGAAGCTTATTAGTAAGATATATAAGCTCTTTAGTAGATATAATATTAGTTTCTTACTTACTATAATAAAATAGTAATACTACTTTATTATAAAACTTACTAGCACTAAGCTCTAGAATACTTATACTATTCTTATTTATAACTTTATATACGTAGTAAAGCTAAAGATAATACTACTACTATCTCTAGCTATTAAAAAAGCTATATATTAGTAATATAATACTTTAGCTAAGATGCTTTATAAAAGTTCTAAAATATAAAATAAAAAAAATATAGCGTTTATAGCTTATCTTTTATAAAAAGATACTATTTACTAGATAGTAGATATAATAGACTACTATAAGTTCTATTAATATCTAGAGAAATAGTTATTATATTATAGTTATTAGAGAATACGTACTATAAAGCTATTATAGTATTTCTATTACTACTATATTATCTTAATAGTTTTTAATTACTACCTAAGCTTAGAAGTTATATAAATAAGTAGAGTATTAGTTAGAAGCTTTAGTACTAATAGTAATATACTCTAAGTTTATTAAAATTTTCTAGTAGTTCTAAAACTAACTAGATAGCTAAGCGTTTTTTAATATCTTTTTATTAAATAAAGTCTATAAAATTAGATATAAGATACTACTCTATATATACTATAAAATAGTAGCTATTTTAAATTACTAAGTCTTTTTACTTTTAGTCTAGTGCTATAATTTATTTTAAGTATATTATTTTTACTTTTCTTATAGTCTAACTATATTACTAAAGTAGTATAATACTATTTATATTACGTCTACGCTTTTAAACTAAGATTAAGATTATACTATAAACTATAAGAAACTTAGTAACTTTTACTATTTTCTTTCTACTATATATATAACTATAACGCTACTATAAGTTCTAGCTTTATTCTTTAATAATATTAGTATATTCTATATAATATAACTATAAAGTAGTTATAGCTTTACTAGCTTTTTTTTTCTTTATAATATTATAAGTATTTAATCTCTTTTATAATAAGCTAGAATATATATACTATAATTTTTCTTTTTATAGAATTACTTATTAAGCTTTTTACTACTTTAGGTAGATTAAAGTAGCTACTATAAATATACTTACTTATAACTTCTACGCTTCTTTCTTAATATACTATTTTTTAACTACTTTTCTTATTTTATTACTATATTTACTAACTAGATTAGATATTAATCTACTTTTTCTATATTAGTTTTAAACGCCTACTAAGCTTAGTAAAACTACTTTTTATTTAGAAATACTTTACTAAATACTTTTTTTTTATACTATAATCTAGTAAAAGTATAGTATAAATATAATATATAAGTACTTTACTTACTACTACTAAGTATAAAAGTAACTTTATTATTAACTTTTAAAGAAAACTTTTATACTTTATACTTTTTTATCTCTAACTCTAAACTTATAACTCTACTTTTTAACTTTACTAGTAAGTTTTTTTTAGTTTAAACTAGCTAAGTCTATTAAACTATAAAAAGCTTATTATAGAGTAGCTACTATTAAGCTACTACTACTTAAGTAAACTATACTTATAGATCTTTTACTCTCTACTTTACTTTAGCTATCTTTTATAACTTATTATATAAGAGTTTTATAAAGATTAGATAATTAAAGTATATAAAAGTAATAAAGTTATTATAGTAGAGAGCTTTAGAAGAAGCTATTAGAAGTAAATATATATAGTAAAGATATTAGCTTAATATAGGCTAATAGAGCTCTAGACTTAAAACTATTATATATTTCTCTTCTAAACGCGCTTAAAGTTCTAACTAATATAAGAATAATAAAAAGATATAAATAGAGATACCTCTTAATAAAAATATCTAAAAAGAGAAACTATACTTTAATTACTCTTAATATAATTAGCGTTATTATCTAGATCTAAAAGATCTAGAAATAACTACTAGAGTACTATAGAGAATAATATTCTAGCTAAAGCTAATAAGTAGTAAGTAAAGTAGTAGACTACTTTATAGCTACTAATAACTATAGATATCTTAGTTAAGTAAAGATATACGCTATAATTAGCTTAATAAACTTTATAAGTAATATAGTTAAAAGAGTTTATAAATAACTAGCTAGTTCTTTCTAAGCTCTTATCTAATAGCTAGAGTAGAGTAATAGTAAGCTCTTTATTATTATTATAGTTATAGAAGATAATATATAGTTTTAGATAGTTAAGATAGTAATTATAAAAGTTTTAAAGAAACTTTTTATAGCCTTTTAAATTACTATATAGCTACTATAAGTTTAATTAATTATTACTAATCTATATAACTTTATATTAGAGAAGTTTATAAGTACTAGTGTATAAGTTAATAAGCTAGTAATAGATATAGAAGTTAATAACTTAGAATATAATATATTTAGTAATACTATTATTTATAAGATAGACTTCTAAAGAGGTAAGCTACTTAGAGTAAGATTAGCTAGATAGAGCGTTATTTTTATATATTTATAATAGCTAAAAGTAGAAAGTAAAGAAAATAGTTTTAAGGTTCTATAGTAAGTTAAGCTTATATACTATATTATTTATAATATAAAAGACTTAGTAAGAGCTTATATTCTTATAGTTAAGAAACTTAACTAGTTTTTTTATACGTATATACTTTACGTTAAGTATTACCTAGTTACTAATAGTAAACTTTAGTATAGGTAAGTAGTTTACGTCTATAAACTTCTTTATCTTATTTTACGTTTATAGTATTTTTTAATATAGAAAGATATAAGTAGTTTTAATATAATAGTATAAATTATTAGTAGTATATTATTATTATATAATAGTAAAGTTATTATAAAAACTATAATTATAGAGAGTATATATAGGCTCTAAGCTAGATCTTAGCTATTAGCTCTTTATAGCCTAGAATAGAGATAAGCTTATAGTAGAGCTTATTACTAAATTAGCTTTAAATTCTACTAATAGTAATAGTTATACCTAATTTATTTATAAGTAATTAATATATAATTAAAGATACTACTTAAAATTAGTATTTATATTTTCTATCTATCTATTTATCTCTAAGTAGTATATAGTAGAAAGCTTTAGTTTAGTTTCTATATAGTTATAAAAGTAGTTCTAGAAGTAGAAGGTAAACTACTATCTCTAGTCTAATATAATTATACGTAGATATTCTTCTAACTTCTAAATATACTCTATAAACTTATCTACTACTATAAAGACTTTAAAGTTCTCTATAGTAATAAACTTCTTTATTTTAGATAACTTATCTACTACTACTATAATATAGTAGTATAAGTACTTATACTATAATAATATAAAAAAAGAGGTAATAAAGTTAATAAAAATATTATTTTAGTAGTAGGTAGGTACTAGTAATAGATAGAGAAGACTATACTTTACTATATAATTAATCTTTAAGTAATAGTAGATTATATAGCTATTTATAAATTAAGTAATAGTATCTATTATACTCTACTAATAGTACTACTTACTAACTTATTAGTATATTATTATTCTACTTCTATAACCTCTAGGTAAGCTATTATAGAAGTATTTAATAATATAAGTATAGAGCTTTTTACTAAAGAGTACTACTAGTTAGCCTAAGCCTATAAATAGATAGCTATTATTACTAGACTTAAAGTCTTCTAGTTCTATATATATACTTTTAGTAATAAAGTAGTAGAGAATATACTACTTACTTTTATTTAAGGTATAATAAATATCTATAAGTTATAGATTACTAAGATATAGCTTATAGATAATATTATTTAGAGAATATTTATTAGAGAT